TTGATGGCAGCGACTTTGTAACATATAAATACCTTACCTGTGTTGGGGATCTTTCTGTCTTTCTTCTCTTCTGTTTTGGGGTTGGATTTGTTGGTGATTGTTTTTGTTCTTGTTCATGCACTTGTCAATTTAAATTCTTACAATATATTAGTGAACTTTAATCTGGACTCTAAGCGTGGTTTTTTGGGGAGAAATCACCAGTGATCAGATACGGTGTCAAGGGCCTCCCTTCTGGTAACCAGAGCATTTAACATCAATCAGATCCCTTATCCTAAATTCTAAATTAATTCAAAAGACTATGCTCGTTACTGAGACTCTGGGGTAACACTCTAGCCTGACCCCACTGCTGCCCCAGTCCCCTGGAGCTCTCTAGATGCCATCAGCGATGCTGCTGCCAGGGTGAAATGTCACACCCAGAGCTCTGTAGACAGAGCAGAGCTCCACAGCCACCAGGCTCTGAGGCCAGGGCTGGAGCTGGGCAGCTAGAGCTGAGGCAGAGGGACAGAACACCCTGGCTGCTTTTAGGGCTGGAGCTCCATGGCTGCTAATAGGGTCAGAACCACACACACACACACACACACACACACACACACACACACACACCAGTGCCCCCTAATGCTCTCCTGTCCCACCACCACCAGAACTCCCTGTTCCTGGACTCTGTGGTCCAGGAAAATCCATGGTCCATGTCACACCATGGACGTTGCTGGACAAGGGAGTCCTGGTTAAGGGAGGTAAACCTGTAATAAAGAAGTCAGTATACAATACTACATCACATTTGCTGCAGCTTAAAATATTATTAAATGTATAAGTTTATGCAGAATCATAAGTAAACAGATTTCTCTCATATTAAAGCACAGTAAATGTGAAGCCTTGTATAATTACTTAAATACACTTTTGGTGAGAAAGCTAAGACAAGAATGATGTTGGTATATGATAGTAAATTTTAATATTTTATTTCTATCTAAATCTCACATAAAACTGAAGATTCCTACTTTATCTTCTCTACTCTAATTTGTATCATGATATTAAGTGCTTTTATGTCACAAGTCAGGCTATAATCAACAATTTTGTTTAGAGGCATCAGAATAGCAAACTGTTCATGGTTTACTTTGATAATCACATAATTATCTGACTGAATGGTCACAAAAATTCAGTCTTTGATATAACAGACTTTTTAGGTTTAACAAAAATAACATTTACTTGGGAGCTGCATCTGCTGCTCGCTGCACTCACCAATACCCCCCCCTAGAGGTTTTCACGGCCAGATAACGTGAGAGCATGATGATGTCATTCTGTCACTCGGCAGAAAATATTTTTTATATATATAAAGAGAGAGAGAACGAACATGAGGAAATAGGGTGGCTAATGTAGTCATTCGAACTTGCAAATGAAGCCCGGGATTTAAATATCCCAGGCTTCATTTGCACGTTCCCGGGTGCCGCCATTTTTAAATACCCGGTAGTTTGAACTACCTGCCCGCGACTCCTAATTTGAACTACCGTTACTCCTCATTGCAGGACGTAATTAGGAGCTTTAATTTGAACTACCTAGGTTTAACAAAAATAACATTTACTTCCATTTTCTATAGTCCCTTCCATAAATACCATCTCATTTTAAAAGATCTCAGGAGGTAACCATGTTAGCCTATAACTTTCAAAGCAACTAGAAGTCCTGTTGCACTTTAGACACTAACAAAAATATATGTAGTATCATGAGCTTTCATGGGCAAAACCCACTTCTTCAGATGAGTTTGAGTGGAGAAAAAAAGGGACTATTGGAATTATAACAGAAAAAGAATGGAGAGGAAAAAATTTACCTGTCAATAGAACTGAATGTGCTAATGAGACTAATTGAGTGGGCTGGAAGTGTCACATACCTAGTTTTTTAGGTCAATGATGTGTTAAATGTAAGGAAGACAGGTTTTATAATGGGCCATCCAGTGAATGTCTTTAAGGACAAAGGATACTGTGTCAAATTTGCATGTGAAGGTCAGTGGAGTAGAAATCCATTCTCTGTAGTTGGCTTGTGAAATTCCCTTTTAGAAGAATGGCTACTTTAAATCCATTAGTGAGTGCCCAGGCAGTTTAAAATGGCTTGAGAGTGTGCATGTTCAGTGGGGGTCTCCACAAAGCACCTCCGCCTCCTGTCATATCACAGCAAGCACTCTCCTTGACTGAGGAGCTCCAGCCCTGCAGCCCCCCTCCCGTCCAGACTCCATGTCCCCACTCCACTCCCACACCAGCCATCCATCCCACCCCCAGCCTGCTCCTGAACCCTTCCAACCCCCAGACTCACCAATCCCCAACCCATTCCTGCACCCTGCTGCCCAGACCCCCCTGCCACACACTGAACTCATTTTTGTGTCTCTCTCAGAGTGTAGGGGAGCCCATAAAAATCTACTAGACTGGGCCTCCCTAGGCTCTGGTGTGCAAGGCGGTCTTTCTGCTTCTCAATAGGGTTTTTTCCCCCTCTCCTGCTCACTTTTATGCAGCCCCCAGCTGATTTTTCTATTGGTCAGAGGCCCCTGACCCAAAAAAGGTTTCCGTGTGTTACCATTTCCAATATCAGACTTATGTTCATTTATCTTCTGTCATAGAGACTGTTCAGTTTGGCCAATATATATGACAGAGGGGCATTGCTGGCATTTGATGGCATATATCATCTAATTTTATGCTGCTCCTTTATGCATGGAACGGTCTCCTTAAACTAGACTGTAAAGATAATGCCTTATCTAACAAACTTCTATTCAAAATTAATTTAATTTCTACAATAATCAGAAAATGCCAACTGAAAATGGAAATTAGATGGCCCATAAGGTTGTTCAACACACATTTATTTATATTATATTTTTTGCTCTAGCTGTATATAAACCTTTCCCATGTAAATCCATATTTTTATTACTATTTCCATCATTCTCCCTTCCCTAGTTCCTTCAGATAGTAAGACCCACTGGTTATAACTTACCTTAAATATCTTGCAAGATCTTTAAGGCAGGGACTGCCCTTTACAATGTGTTTGCAAAACACCTCCATCATGACTGTATCTTTAGGCTACCATGATAAACATCGTATAGGTTGAACCTCTTAAATCCAGGACTCAGTGGTCTGGCAACATCCATGGTCCTGCAAGGCCACAAATGTTGGTGGAACAAAGAAAATGGGGTCTATGGAGTCCCAGGCTAGGCCACCAGGGGCTAGGCAGGGGAACTCTGGTGTCAGCCAGGCCAGATGGTGTCTGGGAGCCTTCACCCTGGGGTCAGGTGGCTAGAGTGGCCCCAGCTGAGGAACCCTGAGAACTCCCCAGAGGCAGTGGAGTCATGCAGTGGCCTGGGAGCCCTGTCTAGGGAACCCCTGGCTAGCAGCACCAGGAGGCAGGTAGCAGTCCCAGCCCCAGCAGGAGAATTACCAGGTGCAGCAGCGTCCGGATGGCCTTGGTCAGGAATCCCCTCAAGGGCAGCGGAGCTGGGCCACAGCAGTGGGGCAGGCAGTGGCCAAGCAGCTTCCAGGCCAGAAAACTCTGAGGAACCCCTGGAGGTACTGACCAGCAGTGGCTCAACAGGGTTGGCGGCGGCCAGGCAGCTCTGGTTAGGGACTCCCTCAACCAGGTCAGAGTTAGCGGAACCCCAGCCTTGAGAGCCTCAGGGAGAGAAACCAGCAGCAGGACAGCCAGCAACAGAGCATTGACCTCCCCATGTCCGGCAAACTCCCTGGTCTGGGATGATTCAGATCCAGAGAGTGTTGGACCAGGGAGGTCCAACCTGTAGGTAATAGGTTAAAAGTAACAATTTCTCAAAATGTTACTAAGTCAAGCTATGTCAAGAAAAGCACGAGAGCAATTCATTTCCTTCACTGCCTCAGAGCAACTAGATAAAACATTTTGATGGTGAAAATCATAGTGATATTACACAAATAAGGAATGAGGAAACAATGAATATTCAATACCATGGATATCAAACAAAACTGAAAAAAGAAAAGACATTCATAGCTGAAATTACTTTACAATAGGAAATGTTAAAATAAAAATAAAAATTCAGGTTTTGGAAATCAGCCCATTTCGACATAAAATAAAAGACAAAAAAATAAAATAAAAAAATCAGTGTACTGGTGAGGTGTATAAAGGGGTCCAACTTTCAACCAATGTTTATTTTTCTAAATTTAAAAAAGGAAACCTAACAAAAATCAGTAACTAACATGAATGTAACATTAAAAATATTGTATACCAAAAATAGTAGTTTCATTAAAGAAAGAAATACTGCTTCTTTTTATATGTCTCTTAATAGTTTTTCATTTTACTTTCACTGGACCAGTCTCACACAAAGAGATCTTTCTCTCATCTTCCTGTTAACATTTGTTTCTTAAATCAACATTTTAAACATAATGTACATTTGCAATTTGATTATAAATACTGAATCGAATGCATCCCTCATACATATATCTATTGAATTAAATGAAGAAAAAACAGGGATTAATAAGGTTTATTGCCACATCATTTTACAGTTCCAGCACTACTCTTTTTCTTGGGTTCTTCACGTTAGATCTTTTCCTTAAACTGAAGTTTTGGCTGGTTGAGCTATATGTTAATATAGTGGCATAGTAAATGTCTTCTTCTGTTATAAAGTAATAATTTTGATACTGTAACTGGTATATTTCCAAATAAAATGGGCTGAGTAGCATACTTGCAAGCATATAGTCATTAAATTGTTTTCAAATATCAATGCTAGAATTAACTGTATATATTATACCTTTAATTGTATTCATGTGTTTCTTGATTTTGGTTGTAATCCACAGGTTATTGAATACATTCTCTGTATTGGATCCCTAGTGGACACAGTTGTGATAGTTAAGCATTCAATGGCCATATACTTTCACTTATAACTTGTCTTCTTAAAACACTATATGTTAATACTTCAGTCCATTAAATACCAAATGAGTTGGGTAATACAATGTCCTTACACTATAGTATCTTTAGGTAACAATGTAAAATAAAAACATGCTTACCATCATCATTCTGGGCCAAACAATCAGCAAAAACAGTAACAATCACAATTCCTACAGCCAACCATTCCCAGAGACAAAACCGCTGTAACATTTTCTGTTGAACTTCACTCATGGCAGATCTGAAATTAAAAAGAAAGATTTGATATGTTCATTAATCAGTTAAAGTAAATGCAGCAGTCAATGCACAGAAGATACAAATTGTGAAGTAATTGTCACCTTTGCTATATATCCATAAGCAATATTACTAAATGATCTGTATGTATCAGCAAGCACATCCAGTCTCCAAAACACAAAAGTTTTGTTATTACTCTTTCTACATCAGTCAAAGTGCTAGGGAACTGTGTAACATTTTGTGTAAGCCAAACATATACTAAAAAGTGTTAGAGGAATTAATATATAAAAGATGGCAAGAATATATAGTGATGTTTCCTTTTTGTATATTTTTGCTGATATCACACCTTAGATTTTGCTACAACTGTTTACAAATCAGAAACCTGACTTGTGTGTCTTATTTATAAAACTAACTGACCTAAGTAAAAAACAAGTTAAAGCAAAAAGTCAAGAGAGAGCTATGAGCATTGCAGTTTATCAGGTCTACAACCTTGTTCCCCTCAACAAGAGATGCTAACAAGTAAAAACTCAGCACCATGAAAAGTAGAACAGTGAAATGAACAACTACAGGCAGTCCCCAGGTTACGTACAAGATAGGGACTGTAGGTTTGTTCTTAAGGCTCAGCACCATGAAAAGTAGACCAGTGAAATGAACAACTACTGTAAAAATAAAACCACTTGGATGAAGCCAGTGGGAGTGGAACCAAAAAAATGTGTATGTTGGGAAACAAACAGAAATCAGTATGAGCAGAATATTCAAAAGCATATTAATTAAGGTTAGTTATTCTAATGTATTCAGCAGAAGGTTTTAATTAGGGGGTTAGAATGTAACATATAAGTAAAGACAAATTAAGTAGCTTTGTAGCCTGAGTTTGTGCTAAGTTACAAAAAGAAAATTAAAAATTTAACAACAACAGCCTGGAGAAAATACAGGAGAAAACCAGAGATGTGAAAAGAGTCACCGTGTCTCTAAGGAAAATAACTTGATCATTTACTTTTTTTGGCTTTTTGTGCAGGTATATGTAATTCCTTTGTAGTAATAGCTCTGTCTTAAAATGTACATCATAAAGGCTAAAAAAGAACTGTTTAAATCTAAACTGGATTTTGTCTGTCATCAACAATGGTAGCACGTAAAGAAATATATTATTCTCCCTTCTGTCAGCTTCACCATTGAAGTGCACTGCTTTTCTGAAAAGTGAGTACAGTGATTCCCCATTTAACATGTGCCCGCTTAACATGTTTTCGTGATAGCACAATTTTTTTTTAGGGAACATTTTTTGAATTACATGACTGTCCCCAGAATAACACGATTTCCCCAGCTGGCCCGTTGCTGGTGGCTACACAGGGCTATCCCTGCCTCCCTGCAAAGCGGTGGAGGGTTCGCAGCTCGCCTCGCTGTTCCCTGGTGACCCCCTCTCACCAGATGCAGTGCGGGTCCCAGCAGACCCATCACAGGGACATATTCTTAACCCAATCCCCCTCTCCTCTCCTCCCCTTCCCTTCCCCAGAGCCAAACACCTCCCCTCCCTGCTGTAACTCAGTTCCTTTTCTCCCCTGACCTCATGTCCCAGTTCCAACAGACACCACAGCTTGAAATGCAACCCGCACCTTTTCCATTATTTTCAATGGGAAAATTGACCCCGCATAACACATTTTCAATCATTTTCTGAAACATATCTATAGTGTTAAATGAGGAATTACTGTATATAAAGCTGATGTGCCAGACTTTAAAGCTGCTGACCAACTGCTTGGCTTGGCTGAAAGATGTTCCATAGTATGTAGACCTACTGAGCACACTCAGACTTCTAACATTTGGGATTGGTCCACTGCCCCTGCAGCACATCCCATAGCACCAGATCCACTGACCCAAACAATTATTTATATGGAGCAGCATATTTAAAGTTATACAATGCTCTATTCCAGTGGTTTTCAAACTTCATTGCACCACAACAACCTTCTGACAATAAAAATTACTAAGACAGGGGCCCAATGCCCCCCAGGTGCAAAGCCAAAGCCTCACCACCATAGATATAAGGGACCACTGCCCAAGGGTTTCAGACATTGGCAAGGGGCCTCAGGCTTCAACTCCAGACCCTAGGAGGTGTAAAGCCAGCCCTGATGAATCCATTAAAATGGGGTTGTGACCTATTTTAGGGTCCTGACCTATGTGTTGAAAACAGCTGCTTTAGCCTCTTAGTCTGATAAAAAAGAACTCCCACAATTCAGGGATAAAAACCACATTCTCAACATTTTTATATGAAAATATCAGAACAATAACTATGAAATATCAAATGGAAGCAACAATAACCATGAAAAGAACATGAAAAATAAAACAAGACTATTGTATAAAAAAAGGGTATAAACGTTGCCATTTTACTCACAGAAAACACTGAGCCTACTCGTTTTCTTTACCCTGGCTATTAGCATTTACGTATTGTGATCGGAAAACACTTAGCCCACTGGATTTCTTTACCACTGGCTATTAGCATTTACGTATTGTGATCATATAAGCTACATATTCACTCATTTCTGAATCAAACAATTCCCCCTCCCCATTTAATGGCCTTCTGTATCAAACATTTCCCCCTCCATATTTAACAGTCTTCTGTATCAAAGCAACCTGATTATTAAAGTCACTGGTATCATTTTTCTTCAAGAAACTGAACTTTTCCTGTGCATCACTACAGCTTCATCTTAGACAGTTATTTACATCACAAACCATGGTATCAAATTAAGAGACTGAAGCTTTCTTCTAAATCACTCACACTGTTATACTTACTGCTACCAAGAGAAAGCTGGGTTTCCTTTAAAATAAATAAATGACAGCTCTGTTAAGTACAGGCTGAATCTCTCTCATCCAGGACTCCCTGGTCCCACAGGACCACAGATGTTGCCAGACCAGAGAGCCCCGGCCATAGAGGTTGAGAGCAGGTGGGAATTCATCCGGTCTGGTCTGCAGCAGACCTGGTGGTAGAGAGTCCCTTTCTGACAACAGCTGCTCCTGGAGTTCCCTCTCCCCATCCGGAACAGCTGTTGCTGCCTTACATGCAGGACCAGGTTTGGGGAACCTAGGAGGAGCTGCAACTGCCATGTGCAAGGGCCGGGGGCAGGGAGCAAAGCCTGGGAGCAGGCTGGGGGAGCAGACCTCATTAAAACCTCATTTAAAACCACATTAAGGCAACACACATGATGTAACTTGCCAACAAAAGCTAGTGAAGCAAGTACGCATTAATGATTTAGAGGGGGGAAAAAATGGGAGAGGCCCAATGTCGAGATATTTTAAACCACATTAAGGAAACACACATGATGTAACTTGCCAACAAAAGCTAGTGAAGCAAGTACGCATTAATGATTTAGAGGGGGGAAAAATATGGGGAACCTAAGTAGTAAGGATTAAAAGGTGACAAAATGGGCCCAAAAGTCCATATCCTGTTTAGTTCTTAAAAAAAAAAATACTTAAGTCACAAATATTAATCCTGCCTCATGGTCAAAGACAACTGAGAAATTGATATATTAAAGTGCCTTACACAATAAACATAATCCACTTCACAAATTTTGCTCAGTGACTGAACAGCAGTTAAAGTCCAGCAGGATTGGAGTGCTTAATACAGATATTCACCACTTACAAACAGCTACATAATATAGATCTTTTGGTTTTTCACTGAAATTCTTTCTCCCACTTCAAAAAATGCAATAGTCTGCTCCTTTTGTTCAATTTAATCTTAAATAAGGCTTTTCTGATTTCTTGCTGCTGTGAGTGGTCGCAATTAAGCAAACCGTCCCTTTCCCTTGGGTCTGCTAGGACTGTGCAGAACTCTGTTCTGCCCCCTTGCTTACCTGGGAAGTCAAAGTCTGCTAGGACTGTGCAGTACTCTGTTCTGCCCCTTTGCTTACCTGGGAAGTCATAATAAATTTAGACCAAATACCAATTTGTTTTTTAATTAATGAGCATAACTTTATTGATGTTGCCACTTAATGAATTACAAAGTTAAAAGATAACAGCTAAGAATTAAAAGAAAATGAATAATAAAATTAAAAAAAGAAAAATACAAAAAGCAAATTGTTTCTGCTAGCATGATTACAAGGATACTTAGTGACATCAGCTAACATTATCTAGTTTTTTAATTTCTTCTAGATTAATTTTTTTTAAAGAACTACAACTATGAGGATCCTTGATCTTGTAGCTTATCAATATTACTTTGTTTTTCTTGATTTTTTAGAATCTTTTTGTTAGTTTTTTTTAATCTTTTTGTTAGATTTTTTGACTCACTCAATCAGGTGTAGCAGCATCTCTCTCATGGCCAGGTAGAGGACGATGAATGCTGTTACGATGCCTGCCTCAGTATGGACCTCCTGCCTCTTGCCGTCAGAGAACAGCACGTGAGTTCAGTTTCCAGAATGAGTTGTAGATGATGAGGTACCTGCAGTCGTTACCGCAGGGTATTTTTGGCCTGATCTCTCATTGTCTATTCTGTTTTGTGGTTAATTTGAGATGCAAAAAAAAAAAAAAATTTCTCTTAAGGGCTAGCGAATTATGATTATTCATATGAGAAAGTGCTACAGGCTCGAGCTCTAAATT